ATATGTAAACTTTTAAAGGTATATGTGTGTGTGTGTGTGTGTGTGTGTGTGTGTGTGTGTGTGTGTGTGTGTTTGTATAATTTATTAAAAATATAAACTGTGCATTATAGACAAACTAGCCAAAAATAATGTTTTTTGTTTTATGTTGGAGCAGGTAAAATATACACCATTTCTCTTGTATTTACTTTAGGTTTGTTTTCTCATGTCTGTAGTCAGGATTTTAGGGGATCTTTCTTGATCAAACCTGATTTTCTTTGACCCTAGGTGAATCCATAGGCTCTTATTTTCTGCGGAAATAAAAGTATATCCTCTCCCCCAATTAACATACCTTTTGACTTAAATTTTGAATTCAAGATAATTTTAAAATATATAGATTGGTTTAATTTAATAGCTTTCACAATCAAATGTCTCTCAGATGTTATCATTCACTCATTAACAGTCAAAAAATCTAAACACAACACACAACATAATACGGAAATTAGACTCTCTGTGTTTTTTGACTGTATATGGCTTATCATAATTTTTAGTATTCGAATTCTTTTTTAAGAATTTTACTTAATTATTTTTAAATCATTTTAAACTATGACTGTTTCTATCCTTTCTCTTCCTATCCCAAGCCTACACACATTTTTCAAACAAACTGTGATCCACTTAGAGACCTTAATGTCTAAATTTGTCCTTACTGTGTATCTCTAGTCCTTTTCTGTCCTTATGAGCATAAAATACAAATTTGCCACCTACCATGTGGGTGAGAGCTGCCTCTCTGTACCTCATCCTGTGTGAGACTGTGATAACTTGCCATGCTGCAGCTCAAGTCCACATGTCACAGCCAGGGGATGTGTCTCTGTATAGTGGCCCACATGAGAGTCATGAATGGTAAAGCTTCTTGGCTCTGTTTTTATGTGTCTAGATGCCTTTTTAGGACCTCCAGCACTGTGGGACACACAGTGGGTGCCATATGTAAATGGACATTTCTCTCCCACAAGCCAGTTCTCAAATTACCACTCAGAGGCTTATATTAACATCAAAAGGCTCAGCCAATAGCTCAAGCTTGTTACTAACTAGATCTTACATTTAAATTAACCCATATTTATTAATCTATGTATTGCCACATGTCCTGTGGTTTTACCTGCCTATAACATCTTGCTTCTTCAGTGGCTCACTCTACTCTGCTCTTCATTTCCTCCTCCATACTTTGATTTTATTGCCTAACTGTATCTTGCTTGGCTATTGGTCAGTCAGCTTTTTCATTAAACCAATCTGGGCATAATTTATACAGAGTACAGGAACATTCCATAGCACTTAGAAAAGGGGGTGGCCTAGGAGTGGGGAGGAAGGATGCCAGCATGGAAGAAAGCAGAGTTTTCCACAGGAACTGCATAGATAACCACCTGGAAAGGGGGTGCTGAGTGAGGATAGGCCACAGCAAAATTTTCATATAAAGCTGTGAATGAAACTGAATGATTGGCCTTGGGATAACAGAGGTAGAGGTGAGCATCTACAGATAGCCTACTTGCTTTCAGAGTGACCTGTGGGTTCTTATGGAGTATCTTCTTGATCTGGAGGTGAGGGGAAAGCAATGAGGAGGTAGAAGGAACTTTGGAGAATAAGACCTATGTTATACACATTATATTGTAGCTAGAGTTTTCCTGCCTGGCCCACAGTCAGGACAAATCTCTATCACCTGCCAGTCCCACAGCCCCTCAGACCCAACCAAGTAAACACAGAGAATTATATTGGTTACAAACTGTATGGCCGTGGCAGGCTTCTTGCTAACTGTTCCTACAGCTTAAATTAATCCATTTCCATTAATCTATACCTTGCCACATGGCTCGTGGCTTACCGGCATCTTCACATGCTGTTTCTCATTATGGTGGCTGGCAGTGTCTCTCTGACTCAGCCTTCCACTTCCCAGCTTTATTCTCCTCCTTGTCCTGCCTACACTTCCTGCCTATGCAATGGCCAATCAGTGTTTTATTTATTGACTAATTAGCAACACATTTGCCATACAGAACATCCCACAGCACTTCCCCCTTTTTTTTTCAAAAAGGAAGAATTTAACCTTAACAAAGTAAAATTACACATAATTTGGGAATTTGGGCGTAGCTTCTCTTACTACTTCCTGCTGGAGGGGGACGCTGTATCTTATGGGGATACAAAGAAAATTTTAGAATTATAGAATAGTCCATGAGGCTGTATGGTCTGAGCCAGTTGCCTTCAAACTGTTCTGGATGTTGGATCATCTGGGCCATGGTGTCATCAGAGACCTTTCAGGGGGTCTTGGCTGATCAAACCTGATGTATCTTAATCTGGAACAAATCCATAGCCTTTGGCTTTCTGTGGGAACAAAAGCAGAGTCTCCTTTCCAAAGTAACATATCCTTATATCCAAATTTTGAAGTCATGGTATCTTTAAAATATACAAATTGGTTTAACTCAACATCTTTTATGATCAAATCTTTTTCTGCAGTTAAAAATCCCAAAGACAACACAATCCAGATTCTCTGTGTAATATCCATTTTTATGTGGCTTATTTTTTATACTACCTTTACTATCTCTTTAAAGACTTTATTTTTTAAAACTATGTATTTGTTTCTATAACTCTATATATCACCCTTTTTGTCTCTTTCAAGCCTACATATCTTTTATACACATTGTAAACTATTACATCTGAATCTGTCTTATTGTGAATCTATTGCCTTAAACTGCAGCAGCTGTGGCTGCTGGCTCTGCCCACCTCAGCTTCCCAACATGGCGGTAGTTTACCACCAGCTCTGGGAGCTAGCGTGGGTCTATGCTTTTATCCAAGCAGCGTGTAGCCCAGAAACCTCTTTTTTTTGTTTTGTACTTGAAAAGGCTAAATCCACCATGCAGCTTAATGTGCCACTTGCAGAGGCCTCATTCCTGCCATACAGTGGCATGTCAAGCGTGCACGCTAGGAACCCACCAGTAGCTCAAACCAGCAGCTCAAACCAGCAGCTGCCACTCATTTGAGAGAGACAATTAGGAACTGTTTTTAGCTCCGTTTTAGAATCTTTTTTCTCAGTTTTTAGGTGGAAACTCTTGCCACCACATTGGACGCCATTTGTAGCTAGAGTTTTCCTGCCTGGCCCATTATATTGTGGAATTTTGGGGAGAGCTATAGCAGGTATTCTGCACAGAGATGAGGGTGAAACTAGGAGAATGGGCTTGAGGAGGAAATGGAGAGATAAAGCTCTGCATTGAGCCTACTACTTCCATGCCCAGTTTTGCCTGTGGGTTCTTGGGAAATGGTTGATTGAGTTGAGGTGTGGGACCAATCAACAATTTATGGTAGGGGTATTTAGCAGGGTCTCTGAGATCCACTAGAGATGGAGGTGTCTGATGTAGGTGTTTTGATGCAGAACTGGGGATAATACTGGGGGATGGGACTCAAAGGAATGGAGAGTGAGCCAAAAATCTATAGCTAGCTTACTTTTCCCTGGCCAGAGTAATCTGTGGATTCCCAAGGAAGGCCAGTTGAAGTAGGGGCTTGGGATAATCCTATGAGTTGGAAGAGTCAGGATAGGAGGAGAAGCTCTTTGGGATCCACTCTAGATGGGGGGAGATGTTGGTATGAGACTTCGGAGTTGGAACTGGAAGAAAAGAGGAAAAGGAGAAAATATATGGTCAGCCAACCTACTTCCCTGGCATGAGTCAGAAAAGTAATCTTTGATGAAATATATTAAGAATAAACAAAAACAGAAAAATTGAATCATTCCAAAATAATTTGCTCTCTTGATTTTATCTTCCAGGGGTAGAAATTTTCCATGTAAAAAGCAAAGCCATCCATCAGATACTTTGTCTTTTGAGAAATATTTGAATTTTTCATTATAAAATTCATGTTTTCCCAGGAAACTTCATTCCCCACCTCTGCTGCATGCTTATTCATTTTCCCATAAGTCTCCTTTGCAACCATTGAATGCACTGTTTTCAGTTATTGCCATGGTTGTTTACCTTTACATTAAATATTAACAGAATCTGTGATACAATATGTAATAAAAGTTTAGAGCCAAAAATTCCTGTATGAGCCCATGTGTAGGCCTTGGATTCTAAGCAAAGTCTTCCTTATTCCAAAATTTTGCATTCTTATGACCAACCCCTAGAATTGAGCCAATTGTGGCAGTGCACAATTATAATCAGAGTCCAGGGGGGGCTGAGCTAAAAAGATTGTGAACTTGATGCCCATCTAAGTAATAGCATGAAATTATAATTCAAAACAACATAAAATATTGGAAGTAGCCCCAAGTAAAAATTATTGAGAACATTTTTTATGAAATTGTTTTAAATCTGTGCTATGCTCAGTTACCCATAGGAAAAAGTATCCTTTGACATAAACATGAACCTCTATCAAATTATTTGTGCATATTGCCTTCACTCACATTGACTGCTTTCTATAAGTATGTCTATAAGCATCTTTAAACTTCTAAGGGCAAGTTGGGTATGGTGGTGCAAACCTTTAATGCTAGAACTTAAGGGGAAAAGCTTCTTTGTGTTTGAGGTCACTCTGGTCTACACAGCAATTTGCATCAGACCAGATAGGACTCCCTCCATAGTATACAGTCTCAAGACAATAATCCCATTGCATTTAGTAGGTAGATTGGCATACACCTGTGAATATAGCAATAGAAAATTGAAGTCAAGATGATCAAAAGTTTAAGGTCTTCATTCAATAAAAAGTAAATTTGAGGAAATTCTAAGTTATATGAGACCCATTTAATATTAACTCCCCCATAAAAAAATCGCATCTTCTGTATTTTAGGGACCAGAGATCAGTCACATTGCAAGCCTACTAAATATACAAATGTTGTGTATGACTCTTGCCCTCTTTCCTTAACCCCATTCAATATTTTCTCATTTCGTGATGCCATTTTATTCTTCATGTTTCTTTTTCCATCTTCCATCTGTAGTTACCTTCTCTGCATCTGTTCTCTCAAAGCTCTCTAATTATTAACCACATTTTTGTTTTGATTCTTCTTTTAGAATACAAGGGGAACCATAGAGAAGATCTGTGACTTCTTAGGAAAGAAATTGGAGCCAGATGAGCTAGATCTGGTCCTCAAGTACAGCTCCTTCCAAGCCATGAAAGAAAATAAAATGTCTAATTATAGTCTTGTCCCAGAAGATATGATTACTAATGGTTTGGTCCTCATGAGAAAAGGTGAAGAAACTCTTTAGTCCCAAAATATGTCAGAATATGTGGAGGGTTTTTTGTTCCAATGAGGCTGTAAGAAATTGTTGTGAATGTGTCAACGTTCATTGCTCATCTCTCATAGTTTCTCAGAGACCTTGCAGGGGAATCTTTCTGTGGTGATGACATGGACTTCATAAACTCTGAAAAGTTTCTGAAAACATCTTGGAGATGATCTTGGGTTTTTAGAGGGTTGTGTCCAATAACCTCAATGGAAAATGAGAGACATGTTTTTGTGTGACTTTGTTAGGCTCTCTGTATCATAGCCCTAAACTCTAAAGAAAATTATTAATGGAAAGAACCAAAGATATATATTGGATGATAACCACAAAATACACTTCCATTCACTGCTGGAAAAGATGTCCAACAAGTCAAGGTTGCTGATACACTGCAGGCTAAGAGTAGAACTTATAAGGACTAAGTGAATTATCCTCCAGTGTTAAAATATGATGGCATTTGTCAAGCTCAATTTGGATTGCTTCATGATCATATTACTGTTTTTTTTCTGAATTGTCTCCATTGGAATGGGAATATCCATCTTCTCTATATCTGTGCGACCTCTCTATGTTATGAGCAAATTGTGGGTATGGTTTCATAGCTGTGCAGTTGAGGAGTGACTGCCAGAATACACCATACCAAATTAGCAAACAACTGGTGAGATGGGACTCAGGGTTTAAGAAGGAATGAGTTAAAAGTGAGGTATTTGGGGATGACTAAAAAACTTGGGTATAAGTGCAGGAAGTGGAGAGTTATGTATTTAATTTTCCTCTTCCAATTACTTACATGCTTCATTTTTAATCTCAGTCAACCTCCAACCTACAGTGTGAGGATCAGGTCACAAGACTCTAAGGACATTAGGAATATATACAGAGATAAGTAAGTTAAAGTCCTTAGTGGATTGCATTTAATTTAATACTCTTGATATCCTCACAAGAGGACATTATACTCAGATTTGGGCACACAAACATGTCAACTCAAGAAAATGGTCATCTATACACTAAGAACTGAGGCCTATGGGAGGGTCCACTGCCATTGACACATAACCTTAGACTCCTTTACTCCAGAGTCTATGGAGATAGAGTTCTCTGTATAAGAACTGAAGACCTCAAGTAAGAAAAGAAATAGCCCATTATTGGATTTCCTGAAATGAATAATAGTTCTGCAGAGATAAAAGAGTATGTGTACAAAATGGCTTCAATGAAATGCCAAAACAAAAAGGTGGCTTGTTTAATAGATAAAGGCTACTGGAACTAACAAAAGTTTTATCTGAGACACAGTGGAGGAGATGAAATAGAATTTGGAACAAATTTACATGAGGAAAACTGTAATTTCCTCTTTCTAGCTAAGTTTTTCCAGAATGAGACCATATTGAGATTTTAGTTTAGTCTCTTCTAAAACACAGCATTTCCTTGTATTATATTTTTTTAGGAGAAAAATATATAGTAGTTATTTCAAAAAACTGAATATGGACCTAAAGTCATATATGCTTTAATTATCATAGTGGTCATATAAGACACCCATTTCTTGTGTAATTGTAGATAACTTTCATTCTGAGAAATTGTTTTCCTTGTATTAAACTCACTATAAGCCATGAGTCCCACAGGAAGCCAGGTCAATGAAGGGGGAGACAAACTTCATTATACCCTTCACCCTGATTCATGACTCCAGTGCAGAAGTTGCTGAGATGCATATGTTGGGAAACAATTTGAAAAGAATAAGAAGAATGAGGAAAATGTTGATGTTCTTAATTCCTACATTAGATTGATTCCTTTTTTTAATATGGAAAGTATTAGCAGATCAAAAATTAATTCTAAAATTTATTTCATTACTTACCAATAGACCAAATCCTTAAATCATAATGCATGAAAAATTGTGTTAAATGTTATACTAGCTTTGAACAAGAGGAATTCTCTCGACTTACTTTTGATGTCCTTTAGTTGCTTTTCTCAGGACACCAGAGAGAATCATTTCCTTGCCTCTAGAGAGATAATCTGAAGAGCTACTCTTTACCTGGGAGACTCACTTATCTGGCAAGATGGTATTAATTTAGTTTAAAGCTCCAATGAAAAATTTTCCACAAACAATTTTGGTCATTATGATTCAATATTTAGATACTTCAGGAAATACAGACCAGAGAGATGTTCTGTTTGGTTCACATAACTTTTATAAAGACATTGTCACAATCAAGACACATGGGAGGAAATATCTTCTGACAAACTACAAAGTTTTTGACCCTCATAAGTTCACAGCAGATATTTACGAGACATAGTACTTGAGTCAGTAATCATTTTCTCTGGTGTACCAAGAAGATATTAAGAGACACAGAGGGAAGAAGACCTATGGAGAAGCCCACTATCTACAGGCCAAAAAAGCCAGGAGGGCATAGACAACTACATTTTATAAGACCTGCAGCCTCCTAAACTAGGAGAAAGTTCCTTTCCAACAAGAGTTAAGCCACTATGCATTAGGGTTAGACTGACCCTGGACACATCAGAGTTTCAGGAGGTTTTTATAAAGAAGCACTGAAGAAAAATATATGCATGAAAGGTACACAAGATTTTGAGATGGTTGGACTGAGAACTTCATGTGTATACTCCACAAACATGATTCTCTCATCTGGACTGATTCATTCCATTTGGCAGACACATTGAATTTGCTGAGATTCTGGTAGCTCAGCATCCAGTCTGACTTATGAGGATCAAGATTGTTGTTGGATACAATAACACAACTTGTTCCAATAATGAGTATAATAATGAAGGTGAAAGTAGCAACGGGCATTGACAGATTCCAGTAGTAATAGATGACACTCTTACAGTCATCGCAAGTAATGGTATATTATTTGAATATTGTGTTTCAATAATTATTTTTCCTTTAATGTGTACCACTGGGCATTTAAAGTAAACTTGTGTGATAAACAAAGATTGTATTTTAGTAAGGAAAAAACATGACTTCTATTGTCAGTCTTTTGGCTTCAAATCTATATCCATCACTATAATGCTGGTAAGATCTCAAGGACTAATTTTTCTTCATCAGCAAAATGGCAACAAGGCCACTATCTTCCTTACTCATTCACTAATCATTTCAATAATTCCATACTGAGAATGTTTTGTATGTCTGATACACTTTGATAAATGAAGACTTTGGTAACTTAAGAAATATTTAACTTTTCAAGCATATTACATGCATATTTCAAGCATGTTTAAAAAGAGGAAATTCATCAAAGTGTCACAGGTATAAAATAAAATGCAGCAAGGATGGGGCCTGTAGAATTCTACATGGAGAGAAGATAGGAAGAGATGGTCACCATCACACAAATAAGGAAACAAAAGAACTAGAAGTGACTATGTGGAACACATCAGCACTTCATGGTGAAGGAACACATAATAGTACCATGTGAGAAGTTGGATTATTTGAGATCTCTAAGTCCAATCCTAAAGACCTCCTAGAATGTGGTTATGAAGACCAAGGTATGGCAAAAAGTACTGGGGATGAAACCATCTTCACACATCACCAAACTCCATACTGACTGAAAACAGATATCCTGGGATGCTCTCAGCAGACAGTATCTGTGTCTCTTGTATCTGATGGAAATATCAAGATGACTGACATGTAGCTCACCATTGTGTGTATATCCAGCTCCATGGTATCTGATACCTTCAACCTCTGCAGGCATGTGCATTCATATGCAGCTACAGACACATAATTAGAATTAATTTTAAAAGGTGTTTTAAAAGTTGCTGGCATAGTTTGCAGAACATTTATAAGTAAACCCTAAAAGAAAGAAAGAAGAATTGAAGTGTGTTTGGATAATTGAGATATTAAAACTCTGTGGAGCTCAATAGTATAATGGAAGCATGTCTAGTGAGAAGGAGAAATAATCTGGACATTAAAAATATAGATCCACTGTCCATGCTGCTAGATTGTGGAGTTGATATGTTGGTATAAGAAATGGTTGACATTACTTACACAGAGGTACAGGTCTGTTTGCATATTTTTCAAAGCATAAGAATTGTTCTCCACAGAGTAACTGTTAGTTCTACTTTATTGACTGTGTGGTTCTACTTAAGCAGATGGTAACATCATGTGAATAAAGGAATGAGAGCCGATTTATAATCATCATTAACCCATCTCTGTGTCTGCTTCACATTTTCCAGGTGTGCCTGGGGACTGGAAGAATCACTTTACAGTAGCTCAAGCTGAAACCTTTGATAAAGTATTCCAGGAGAAAATGGCTGGTTTTCCGCCAGGGCTGTTTCCATGGAAATAAATTCTTAAAACTTTAAAATCTTACATGCACACTAGTGTTTATTTTCCTGTCCTTGTACAGGTGATTGAGTGTGTATGGTCATAGAATACATCCTATTATTGAATTGTGTAGGTTTTTTTCTAAAATGTATCAGTAGTAATAATAGCAGTAGTAATAGTTGTCCTAGTAGTGGCGTATTGGTGTTTGTTTGTGTGTGTGCATCACACACATGGGTGTGCACATACATCTCTGTGTGTAGTACCTTTAGATGAGAAGAATGCATTGGATCCCATGGAGTTGCCATTACTCGTGCTGTAAGCTCCTTTCTTTGTGTCCTAGGAACTAAATTCAGGTCTTCTATGAGGGTAGTACAGTGCTCTTAACCTCTGAACCATCTCTCCAAACCTGAATCTTGTACTCTTGAGTCATCAAATATTTGTTCCTATTATGACTGGTTTACTCTACATTGCAAGTTAAGTCCAATTTGCTTCACAGAATTCCAGCTTAAAACAACCCTTGTAATATCTGAAATATAAAACACACTAGAGAAATTTGTAGATAATTTTTAGTCTGTGACATTTAGGCAAAATAAATAAATCGTGTTTATAGAGACATTCAAACCTAATTTAAGTAGTCTGTGGTAGATCTTTATAAACTTTCATTTCTGCTCCCAATTGTGTATTTGCATTTCAGTTTTTTCTTCTTTTTGGGTAATTTTTACTGGGTGTATACAATAATGGGTTTCATTAGGAAACTTTGGTTCATGCATGCACATCATTGTCATTTTCTCAGTATTGCTCCTCTACTGCCAAGTGCCATACATTCACTCATGTTAGTACATTCTCCTCCCACACAGCAAATCTCTGCTTCAGTGTCCTGTAAACACACTATATTTAAATATGGATGTTCAGAATGGAGAAATAATGCAAGATTTTCTTTCCTTTTTATGATTACACAAAGTTATTTATTTTAGGTATGATGGAGAATATACCTAGGGGCATCTAGAAGAGTCCATAGCAGAGAGAGAAAATAGTAGACAAAACATGGCCAGCAGAATAGGCCAGGCCACTTAGTGGGGATCAAGAAAGCAAGACTAAAACAGAATAAGATGAGAAAGAGTGTCCAAAAAGATCAAGAGAGCCAAGAGTGGGCATTATCAAATTGACAGAGTTATATATAAATCAGAGGCTGGGAATAGAAGTCTATGACCTGGATAAGTTTAGAATAGGGACTGGGGTAAGAAGAGCAGAGAGACATCAGGATACTGAATACTTGTGTGAATTCTGTAACAGTATTTGCCATGAGAGCAAGGAGGCCAGCATGCACTTTGGTATGCTAATAAGCACCAATTTAGCCATTTGTCCTAAGGATGTTTTTGGTCCTGACATTCCAGACTGCTTTTTGGTGATGAAGGCCTATGTAAACTGTTCTGTAACTGCTTCTTGGCTGAAATTATGATGGTGTCATCAAGACCTTGGATCTTTGGAGTGCTTATCAAAGATTGGAAGGAAGGAGTTGAGTTAAGGTTGGAGACATCTGTTTTGATTGCTATCCAGGTTTACAGGGACAACCTGGGGCAGGCAAAGTACAGAGAGCTTTAGAGCAGTATGAAAATTCTGGTTAAAGCCAGAGGCTCAGGCCAGTTTGGAATTCCATCAAAAACATCAAGTTAATATGGTTTACAGCAAGTGTAGGGGTACCTGATTTTAATTTGGAGCAGTTTATAGTTTTTAAATAATTATGAATCTGATGGGACAGATATAGACTGGAGAAAAAAGATAGAGTTAATGAGCATAGTGGAAAATCTTTTTCTTGGGTATATGCTTGAAACTTCAGATCCATAGGTAATAGGATGTGCAAATAGTCTGAAGCCTAAGAGTAACAGAGTTAGATAGCTAGATGCACAGATAAATAGGTAGAGAGTTAGATAGATAGATCCCAATGTTAGGAATTGATAGTAGGTAAGTAGGGAAGCTTAAGCTGTTGATTGACAGGAGTACTTATCAAGAGTATGAGTTGTGACAGATGGATCCAAGATGTAAATGCTTGAAGCTTACATGAATTTCTTAAATATACACAATGAGATGAAAAATTTGGATATATTATCATTGCTACTGCTTATAATCTGTACTTAAATTTTCATTGTTGAAAAATCAGTTAACAGGTGTGTAACACAAATTGCTAAATGGTCTTATTAATAAAAAAATAAAACTCAGAGCCAAATATTGAGGTAAAAGCTGAAAGATTGGAGAAGCAGAGCAAGCCCACCACATTCTTACCTATACAAAATCCTCAGCCTCAAGAGAAAGACTTCTTCTTTACTCAGGCCTTATATACCTTTTTCTGCCCTGGCATGTTACTTTCTGGGATTAAAGGCTTGTATGCTTCCCAAGCAAAGACATGAGATCTCAAGAGTTGGGATTAAAGATGTGTTCAACCACATCTGGCTCTGTTCCCATTGTGAACCTGAACTCACAGAAACCCTGACAGATCTACATCTCCTGAGTGAGAGGATTAAGGCTGTGTGCCATCACTGTCTGGTCTCTATTTCTAATCTAGTGCCTGGCTCTGTCCTCTGATCTGCAGGTAAGTTTTATCCAGGTGTACAATGTATAACAACATTCCCCCTTTTTGTCTAAAATAATAAAAGATTATTTCTCAAGTCCTTGTTTAATTAGACTCTCAGGCTGGATCATTTCAGCTAGCCAACTTGAAATTGTCCTGAGCAGTTTGTAGTCCAAAGCTGATCTTTGGGTAGTGATTATCCTCTTAGTGGTATTATCATCCTCCTGATGGAATCCTTGTTGTGAGTCCCCTTCATCATTTTTGGGGACTTCAAAGTCACTGTTATGTATGGTCATGGTACTCTGCAGAAAACTGATAGAGACTCATACCCAAAATCATGTACAGGCAGGTAAATGAAGCCTTTGTTCTAGGATTAGATAATACACTATGACCATGAATATTATGTCAAAAGTTTAAAATATACATATATACATATATATGTACACACCCACACACCCACAGCCACACACACACACACACACACACACACACACACACACACACACATATATATATATATTAAGAAAAGTTTTAAAGTGTCAAAATAAAACCAAGGAATTATGAGAATAGTGGCAATAGAATAGTCCCTTATTTTTTCCCTATCACATTTCCAGAGGCTCTTCTGACTTGATACAGAGATTTTTCATTTTCTTTTAACAAACATGCTTGGGTTTAGAAAAAGAAAGAGTCATGCTCCACCTCCAAAAATAGCTGTAATTTTTAACTGAACTTGGGCTGCATAAAGACTATTTGCATTATATGCTTGTAGAGATCATCAAAAACAAACTTTTAGGAAGACTTATGAAATTTTATCTTATTAAATATATGATATACCATAAACCAACATGCCAATTTACATTTTTCTTGGGACATTTTTTTGGATGTTTTGTCTTTTACCTTTAGATGTCTCATTTTCCCAGTGAAAAGAAACAGTTTTTTAAATCAATAACTATAAGAGGTCATCCTTTAGGTAACAGAGAAGACAAAGGAATCCTAGATTGTAGAGAGCCCACTGGCTGAATTACCTTTTAAAAAGCTCTTTTATCTGTTACCATTCTCCACTTACCAGATTTCTTTAAAATAGCAAATACAGGAGAATTCCAAGATCTGGTTGATTCTTCAATATGCTGGGAATTTAACTGCTCTTGTACCCCCTGTTCTAAGGCCTGTAGTTTATCTCTTGAGTTGATTTGAATTCTAGCCCTTGTCCTGAGCCCTCAAGGTATTATTGGCTCAATAGTTTTATGACATATTTTATCACAAGGTAAGTTACTGTTTCCTGGGAAGGAAAGAACCATGGCAATAACTGAAAACAATGTGTTGAATGGTTGCACAGGGGACTTTGAGAAACTGCACTACTGAACAACAGAGACAGCTGTGTAAGGAAGCTTCCTGGGGAATATTGAATTTTATAATGAAAACGTAAACTGTTTTACAATAGACTAAACAGTCGTTGGTGTTGCTACTTACACAGGAACTTTCTGTTCCTGGATGATAAGATTTAGATATCAATTTCTTTTGAATGACTCAGTTAAGAGAAATATAGGTGTATCCTTAAGAGTGCAACAAGCAAAATTCATTTCACCAGTCAACTTGACACAACCTAGAATTATCTGAGAAAGCCTCAGTTAAGATATGTCCTCATCAGGAAGACATGTTACCAGGTGTTTGAGATGTTGTCTTCATTGATGATCAGTGTGTTTGGGCCTACAGCATAGGTAGCAGGAACTGAGTTGTATGAGAATTCTAACTGAGCATGAAACACTGATGAATTTAATAAGCAGATTAGTAAAATGGTTTCTGCTTCAGTTCATTTTGGAGATACTGCCCTGACTTCTCCCATAGATAAATTGTGACCAGAAAGTGTAATAATTTCTTCCCCTACAATGATTCTAGCAAGAGTGTTTTTTTCACAGAAACCATAAAACAAACTAGAACAACAGCTAAACAAATACTAAAATAATAATAATAATAATAATAATAATAATAATAATAATAAAAGGAAAACAGCTCGAGCACATTGGCAAAATCATCAAAATTACATTAATCAGTAGGCACCTTTCAGTAGTATCTTAATTATTTTTTTTTTTTATTAATTTATTTTGCAATACAATTCAGTTCTACATATCAGCCACGGATTCCCTTGTTCTCCCCCCTCCCGTCCCCCTCACCTTCCCCCCAACCCCCCCCCCCCATTCCCATCTCCTCCAGGGCAAAGCCTTCCCCACAGACTGAGGTCAACCTGGTAGACTCAGTCCAGGTAGGTCTAGTCCCCTCCTCCCAGGCCGAGCCAAACAATCCTGCATAGGCCCCAGGTTTCAAACAGCCAACTCATGCAATGAGCACAAGATCTGGTCCCACTGCCTGGGTGCCTCCCAAACAGATCAAGCCAATCAACTGTCTCATCCATTCAGAGGGCCTGATACAGTGGGGACCCCTCAGCCATTGGTTCATAG